ATCACAGTGCTCCCGACAGACAGAACTAGTGTGTTATTATTATAGATCCTGAGAAGTTTCAAACAGATGTGCAGGCAAGTCAGAGCTAGAATGAAGCACTGGGCCCCCCCGCTGTGGAGCGGGCAGGCTCCACTGACAGACAACAAGTGGTGAGGGCCCGATCCTTTTTTATTTTCCTGGAGCCTGCTCAACTCTCCCACAGCCAGGAGGTGATCTGCCAGTGGGTCCTGAGCTGCAGGGCAGCTCAGTGCTTCCCTTCATGGCAGCAGTGCCCCCCGGGACCCCCCAGGTGGGGTGCCAGCAGATGGGTGCTGCAGGGGGGGTGCTACTGCCACAGAGGGAAGCATCAGGGTCCCCTGCAGCTCAGGGTTGCATGACCCACTGGTAGCTTGCTCCCCGGCCGTGGGAGATGCAGGCAGGCTCTGGGAGGAAAAAAAAGAAAAGATCAGGTCCCTTGCTGCCTCACCCTCACCCCTTCCTGGCAGAGCCTGCCTGTGAGAGCTGCTGCTGGGTCATGGAGCCCCTGAGCTGCGGGGGTGGGGGCCCAGCGCTTTCCTCTGCGATGGTGATGTTCCCTGGGGCCATGCAGGCAGGGTGCTAACTGTGCAGGTCCAGCTCCAGCTCGCAGGCAGCACCCACCAGATCCAATGGTGCACGGAGCGCTGGAAGCCTGGGCACACTTGGCAGGCTTCCAGTGCCCTGTACACCATCCCCACCACCTTCCCACTACCTGGGACTGCCTGGGAATGGGGTGGCTCCCCGGCAAAATGGCAGGAGGGTGGCTGGGTGTGCTGGCAGCTGGAGAAGGTGGCAGGGACTTCCCCGAGCACGCCTGGGCTTCCAGCACCCTGTACACCATCCCTTCCTCCTTCTCTGGATAGGGCCCTTGTACATGTGAGGAATATTGCTGTAATTTGTTTGGTAGCAAGCTAAAGTACCTGGGATATGTTTTAGTTTGCTAAGTAAAAAAGTCATTTAAATTGAAATATGCTGCCAAACGTGTATACTGTTATGAAATTTAATCATAGCATGCTGCCGAACGTGTGCACTGTTACACAATTAAATCATTAAACAGGGCAATTAAACCACTAAAAGGTAATTTCCTCACATGTATGAGGGCCCTCTTATTTTATGACTATGAACAAGTCACAAGGTCAGACTTTTGACAAAATATGTGTTTATTTTCCCATGCCTGTATTTACACGTGGACAGCTTTATCTAGCTTTTTCGAGGGTGAGAAGTTTGGATTCCATTAAAGTATTCAGTCAAGATTTTTAGCTAGCCTTTGTATTTAAAGAAATACTTTTGCAATAGAAATTTAATTGCAAATGTTTTGCGGGTTTCAGCTAGTATGATGCATAGACATACCCTATACTGTGATGGCACCTCAAATACTACCCACTTGCTTCCTGACTATTGTAGAGTAGTTAACTTCTGGTATTCATTTTCTCATAGAATGATTTTAAGAAACATTGTTAAAAAACTGATTACTTGCTGCAGGCATGTTAGCACTTAAATGCAAACATGAGTTATGGATACCAGTTAGGGATGTGTGTCTGCTTCCATGAAAATCAATGGGAATTTTGTAATTGATTCCAATGTGGAAAAGATCTGAAGGGAAATAGACTCTCAATTCTATTCATTGTCAAAAGGAATTTAATTTTAGTGCCAACCTGATCTGTGCGAATTGTTGTTTGCTGTTCAATGAAAAGTCCAGTGTTACAGAAGTATGATCATACTGGTGTCTCAGTGAGTTGCAAAGCCAAGTGCATAGTGTATAGTACAAATAATAAATGAGATTTTCAAAGGAGCCTAAAAACTATATTACTTGGAGCAGTGGAAGGGTGGTCATTTCTTCGTAGCACATTTAAAAATCCTACTGAATGTGGTTTTGGTTCTGAATGTGTATGTTCTTAATTCTGTGATTCCTTGTTTCACCTTGCTGCCTAGCTGGATATATTGATTCTTGAACCCTGTTTTTCATTTTTGCAGAAATAATTTAATTGCATAATGTTCTGTTTCTCGACCTTCCTTTCCAGATGAAGGATCTAGTCAGTGCATGGAGCGTCCTCCTTGTACGAACAAAGACTTCTTCCAGATCCATACGCCATGTGATAAGGAAGGGAAGGTAAGTACGAGGCTCACTCAGTTTGACTTTATTCTTTAATTCATTGGCACAGTGGAAGTCTATTGGTTTGGACACCAATCAGGGAGCCAGGAACTCCTGAATTCTTATTCTTTTTCTAGCAGTTACTTTTAGGGCAGAATCCTGCTTCCTTTTGTGCATCTCAGTGGCAGTTTTCTAGCAACCTAAGTGGTCTTTTTGGCACTTACATGCAGGAAGTAATTCAACTTTATCTATGTTGTTGGCATCTAAGTATGTGCACACAGATTAAGCATGGGCAGTAAGCTGTGCACTGACTAGGCCTGCACATGGCTATGTGTAAGGGTGACCATATGCCCTTGTTTGGTCAGGACAGTCCTGGATTTAAGAGGCCAGGCCCAGCCAGCCGGTGAAAATTAAAATGAGCATCCTCGGGCATGGAGCATGGAGTGCAGTCTGGCAGGGAGGTGGACTTGCACAAGCTGTGAAATAGGAAGCCCTACCAGACAGCAAAATTGCTTAAAAATTGGTTAGCTTGATTAGTGGAAAGACCACTGAAAAGGGAGATGATTGTTAATGCCTTTGAAGTAAGGAACAATGGGTCATTAACTGGCCATTGACCCCCTTAGCTGCCTGAATAGTAGTACCAGAATTGCACCTTGCTGCACCACCCCCAATTCTACCTGCAGCAGTGCTGCTGACTTGTGGCAGGACTTGGAGGGCAGTGTCCCAGATTTCACATTGTCCCATTTGGTCACCCTAGCTATGCATGTATGCCTATTATAGATGCATACCCGCATCTAAACTGCAAAAATGAAGCAGGCCAGAAACCCATGACTAATGTTGCTAGACTCACAAGGAGGATCCTTCCATGTTTTAGCCCTAAAATCACTGAGTGGTTAGGGCACTGCCCAAGGAAGCCAAAACCCCGGGTTCTGGGACTTCCTTTGCCCAGGAGGGGTTGAACCTGCATCTTTTTGATTTATCAGTATAGGGGACCGAGTACTTGTTGCAGGTCAGGCATTATCCATGTCACTCTTCAGCACTTCTTTTGAAGCTGACTCTGGGAAAACAAGAGAGGGAGATATGTGGGGCCAGGAGGATGCACACAAGCTAGATGGTAAGTGGCTCTGTGAGATGTCTGCTGTTCTGCAAAGGAGCTGGCCCTAAGTGTTAGCCTGGACCCTTACCCACAGGGGAGCATAAACTTCTGTACTATTCTGTATTCAGTTTCTCCAGTGACTATTAAAGGCAAGGGCAGGCAAGGTTCTTTGAGTAGATGTGATATCTTTTATTAGACCAACTGAGTAGTTGGGGGAAAAAAAATTCTTGGCAAGCTTTTGGGTGCAGTCACCCTTCTTTGGGCATGGGGAGTCTCAGCTCAGCTTCAAAAGGAGCACTGGACAATGCCTAACCTGTATAGGATGGTTAGAGCATGGTCTTAGAAAACTGGAGCAAGAGACAGGTTCAAAACCCCTTAGGATGAGGTGGGCTTAGAACTCAGGTCTGCCACTTCTCTGAAGGAGTGTCCTAGCCACTCTGCAACTGGGGCTAAAATGTGGAAGTCTCCTCCTTCCTTTGTGCTTTTTCTAGGATAAAGGAAGGAGGAGCCTTCCATATAGCTGTGTACCTGTAACCTATTGCACATGCTCAGTAGTTGGCTTCCTTGAATTGGTATTGGCCTCTGGCTGCTTTACCAATCCATCCAGGAAGAGCACAAACCATCTGCAGACACTTCTTCAGACTGACAAAGGGTGTTTGTGCCTGAAAGCTTGCTAAGAAGAATTTTTCCAACTTTTTAAGTTGGTCTAATAAAAGATGTTGGATTTACCCAAAGAACCTCATCTGCCTATGTCCTTAGACGAACACGGCTACAACCTATATCCCGGCAGCTGTTTAGACACTTATTTATTCACACTTCAGGGAAAGCTGAATTTTTAGCTATGCATGAGCACTGAAAATATGCAGCTAGAAAACTGTCAGTTAAGGAAGTAGAATTGCACCCCCTTAGTGACTTAGGGAAAGTCACTTGGCTCACCCTCTCACTTCCTCCAGGAACTATAAATATCTGTTTGAGATTTTCCTTCAGTAACTATCACCATAGTATGCAAGGTCCTGGTTTTGCCAAACTTGTGCCCGTGATCTGTCTGACTTGATCTTTCTCATACGTGTAGGTGTTGACAAAATCTGGACCCAGATGCTGATAACAATACAGCCTTGCCTCCAGGACCATCTTGAATGTTCATTGACTGGATTTATGATAGGGTGAACTATAATGGGGACTTTACTCCCATTTTCCCCACAGTCCTATGGGAACTCTTTTGTGAGAGTGCTGAGATCACAGCTTGGATTTTTGGGGCAAGCAGCTGCCAACTATGACACTGTCCTGACACACATTTTGCTGAAACTTGGCTGACATCACAGTTCATTTAGGGTTGCATTGCCCACACCCTAGATCCCCCTCCCACCTCCCTTCAGCCATCGCTGGGTAGCAAGACATCACAGGTGCAGCTAACATACCGCTTTCTAACAGGATGGAGTTTTTCAGCCAGTTACACACACTTTTTGAGTCTGAATCTGCTTTAATAAGAACGATTTTAGAATATTGACCTTCCGAATGAGACAGATCTGTACCCATGACTTACCACACAGTACTTATGCTCCGAAACCTCCCTCTAATGGCTCTGTGAATTAATAGCCTTTTCCACTGCACCCTAAGGTACTATGCTGTCATGCAGTTTCCTGCAGATTACTTTGTAATTGAGCCGTGAAATTCAAGTCCCTCCTCAAGGCTCACTTGCTTTGATTAGCCTCCCAGTGCAGACCCACTCCTTCTGCCTTCCTGATGACCTTTCTCTCAAAGTATTGTAAAATGAACTCATCAACATATAAAACAGCTCTGTGTAGAAAGTCCCCACACAGGAGTGTGCAACAAGTGCACCCAGAGTAGCAGCAGCTGTCAGCACTCAGCATTTCTGAAAGTCAAGTCACAAATAGGTCACTCCTGCATGCTTTTCTTGCCATTACCTGTTGTACTGTGTCCACTTATGTTTGTGTGTGTAGTCTCTTTGAATCAGGGACCTGATCCAAAGGCCAGTGAAGTCAATGGATATCTTTTCCTGGGTACAAGATTAGGCTTGTAATCACCAGGACTTAAACTGAGATTTTCAAAAGGTCCAAAGGGAGTTAGATACCCCTTTCATTGACCTGCTTCTTGGAAAATTCAAGTCTGATTGGATAAGCCCCAGTCTCACACAGACTGTATGCACAATATGAGTTCCACTGAGTTCAGTGGGATTACTTGTGCCTGTAAAGTTTGCTCACACTCAAGGTTTCCTTCCCTGTAGGTTCTTTAAGGCACTGATCTATGTTATTTTAAATGTTCTGCACACCTACTGAAAAATAAATAATAATCAGGCAAATCTATAAATCTGAACCCTACTACAATTAAGAAACAAAAGGGCTGTTTAACTCTCTCTTAAATTCCCTATTGTTATATGACAGGTAGTTGTCAGTATCATCATCCTCAAGAGCCACCCCCAAGGTATAAAGAGACAGTTAATTTTGGGTAATTTAAATGTTTCCCAGTTTTTTGAACTTACCTCATTTTCTTCTTTTGAAATATTAAAACTTTATAGACCATCACAACCTAGTGCAATCCAGAAACCCAGATTCTGCAAGGATCAGTCCATGATGAACCAGAGTTGCAGTTTTATTTTGCAGTGTCAATACAGAACTAAAACTTTGGTGCATACAAATCAGCGCTTATTTAATGTGGCAGTTCAGGAGCTGTTGAGAAGTTTCATTCATAGATTCCTATAAGTTACGGGCTGGAAGGAACCTTCACAAGATCATTAGGTCCAGCCCCCTTGCTCATAGGCGGGAAAGAAAAGATTGCTGGGGTGAAGTGACCCCAGCAAAGTGCGTGTACAGTCGTCTTTTGAAGATCTTCAGTTGAAAGGGTTGTTTTCTGAGTGATT